CAGTCGAAAAGGGAAAGAGGCAGTATAGTACTCCATTACCGCAAGTCAAAACTAAGTCTGTAAGTGGGATAGTATCTTGGTGATCTGGTGGAGGGTCTCCTGTGCCGGCAGTCATCATGGATGACTATCCCATTCAGGGCCTGTTGACCCTCTCTGTCTTGTGGGGCCCACTGTTTAGGTTCATATTCCCACTGGGGTTCGGACGCGTGTGTACGTCCCGCATGATGATGCGATCAGGAGCAGTGAAGCCAGGGCCCACACCTGCTGAGCAGGCATAGATTGACCGCCGGCAGGCAGAAAAGAAGAAAGAAAGAGAAGAAAGAAAGAAGAAGAAAGAAGAAGAAAGAAGAAGAGTTAAAGACAAAAGCCCAGTTAGAAGAAGAGGAGATGAGGAGGAAGTTAAAGGAAAAGTGGGAACAGGAAATAAAGGATGAATTGCAGACTATTGAGGAAGAAGAAGACGCCTCTGAAGAAGGGGGAGAGAGACTTATCAGGCGGCGTGCAGAAAGTGGCGAGACAAGTGAGGTCCGGGGAGAAGTATTTGTTAAGCCATTGGACTGGTATGACCGGTATTCTTATTCCAGTGACAAGTTAGAAGAGACAGAAGAAGAACGAGACACATTCATAGCAAGGCTAGCACTAGTAACAGATCAAAGGGAGAGAGAACTGATGCTGGAAGAAAAACGCACTGAACTACATAGCAAGATGCTAGCGACAAAGCGCAAAGAGCTTGATGATAGAAAGACGTTGCAAGCAGAGGGGGCGAGGTTACACAGTGATCTGCAGGCACAAAAGGAAAAACAAGCGGCTACTGAAGAAAAACTCGCCCTCGTAACTGAAACAGTTCTCCATACGAAACAGGAAGTTGCTGCAATGAATAGGACCTTGCAGAAAGTTGAAACAAATCAACTGGAATTTGAAAATGTATGGAACACTTTTTTGCAGAAGTCCGCCAAGGACGTAGATCTGCACATTCAGTCCTATATCAACAAACTGGATGATCATCTCACTCGAMCCTTCACTCCCGCCGTGATTGAGAGAATAGTGCAGGGCAGCGGCGGAGGAGGAGGTGGTGACGGAGACGGGGATGGAGGCGATGGAGATAAGAAAGGAAGGGGAAGACAGCGAGAAGGAGGAGCAGGGACCAGCAACAAAATTAAAGGTAAAATTCCATGGACGTACACCAGCAAAAAGGAAGAAAGCGTGTTGCATTGGATGGCGGCTGTACAGTCCTATGTCTACGGACAACGGATTCCTTATTGGGATAGGGTGTTGATGGCCACTTCGTGTATGGTCGATGACGCAACGAGTTTTGCAATCTCGTTACAAAAAGAAGCAGGRTGTAGTTCAATGGTAGAGTTTTCCCAGCAAACCCGTATTGAAGACTTTCTCAAAGCCGTCAGGGAGAGGTTTGAAGATAAGAATCTCGCCCGAAGAACAGAAATGTTAATCTTGAACCTTTCTGACAGGATGTGGAAAAGCACGTCGGCACTAAAAGCTACCATGGATGAGTTGTTACAGTGCACCGAGCATGGGTTAACCCCGGCTCAAATTTTGAACAGTTTTGCTCGCGCCTTACCTGATCCCGTCCAAACTCCGTTATATCCCCGCACTAAAGAGGAGGGGATGACCTATGAAAAATTTAGTAAGACTGCATTAGATCATGCAGGATTTCTGGCTGAAGCCAACTATTGCCACTATTGGAAAGATCTGCA